GAACGACTGTTCTAGAGGATGGGAAGGTAACATTAGCTCCCTCCTACGGTTCTGCTTTCATCTATATTTTGCTTCTGTTTATATTTTTCATTACCTTATAATTTATTTAATTGGGTTTTCATTCAGTGTATTTATTTATAACTGATAAAGGACGCTGAGGGGTTGCTCGGGGGAGGGGGCGCTGATGGAAGGTGCGTGTGCGCAAGGGAGGGCGAGGGCGTTGGGCGCGGGGGGGGGCCCGGCGTGAGCGTCCTCTGCTTAATCCCAACCTCTGTTTCGCGCCCCCCCGGCCGCACGCCCCCACCCCTCTAGCCAGACGCTGCCCGGAAGCCTCCTCCTGCACGCGCTCCCTTCGCATCGGTGGGCTAGAGCTCTCCCTCATCCCGGGAGCCTTCGGATGGCTTGGACTGCAACTCCCACCATGCTGGGGGATAATGGCTCTGGTGGTCCAACATGTCTGGAAGGCACAGGCCAAAAAGGGAGGGGGCTCTTCGGAGCAAATTCAGTTTCAGAGGAGTCAGGGCGCCTGAAGAGAAGGGAAAAGGCGGGTGAGGAAGGAGGTACTGTATGGCCAGCAGGAGACGTTCAGATCTGGCCCAGAGGATGGATAGATGGATGGATGGCCAGATCCAGCCCCAAGACCCTCAGCTCAGGCAGTGAAGGGTGGCAGTGAAGTCATTTTCGAATCCTGGTCCTTCCAAAAAACCCTCTTCTGGCTCATCTCTGCTCCCTTGCAGGGAGCCCCTGGACAGGGCAAAGGGATCCGGAGCCAGGCCTCGCTCCTGTGGGATGCTGGCCAAACCCCATAAGAGGACCGGGCCTTAGAACACTCCCCCTCTGAACCAGGGATGGGGACCCTCCACCCCCCCAGATGTCGTCAAACATCAGCTTCCATCAGCCCTAACTGGCTTAACCCAAGGTGAGGCATGATGGGGAGTGTAGTTAGCAACGTCTGCAGAGTATAAAGCAGTTGTTCTTTATCCTGGATACCCTGTTGCTCCAGTAAAATATCCAGAATCCTGACTGGATAACTTCTGGAGGCTTGAATATGGAAACCCCTGCAAGCTCAGGTTTGGGCATCCACCAGTTTTCACCTTCTGCTCACTGTTTTTCCTCCCCAGAGATTAAAAAAAAACCAGCACAACACCACCAGGTGTGATCCAAGGCATGGCATTTTGTCCACACTGGATCTTTAAAGACAAACAAACCTGTAGTTTTTTTTTTTTAAAGGAGAACGTTTACTTGGGTTCTAAAAAGAATCCTCGCTTGCCGAAGCTAAGACTACTGTACAGGTTTTTTTCCTTGCAGTCCCCCAAAGTGGAGAAAGTATGAAGAAAGCCGTCTGGGGGGAAAAAAAATCTGTTCACTGAATCCAGCCATACAAAGGCTTATGTTTAGAACCAGAAAGTAGTTTTGCCACCTTGCAGAGTTCCGGATCGTGGCTGGGTTCTAGAATTACAACATCGTTCCACTTCAATGAATGCTATGCTTAAAACACACACACACACATTAGGAAAGAAAAAAATGATTTAAAAGCTTCTAAAATGTACACAAGATAGCCATCATTTTAAAGTAAAACTGCTAATACATAAATTACTGCCTATTATCATCATTGAGAAACGTCCATGACGGTGTGAAAAGAAGCGAGAATGAGGACCCTCTCCTTTGCAAACCAACACACAGAATTTGGAAGTTACTTTTTCTGGACTGCAGCTCCACCAGTCATGCCAGCTGGCAGATTCTGAGAGTTGTAATCCTACAGGCAACTTTAACAGGGATGCATAAACAAGGCAGGCCGTAGGCTCTGCCACTTCCTTCCTAGGTAGCCCTGGCCGGTTGGCCTAAGACAGCCTTCTGCCTCTGGTTCCCATCTCACTGTCCTCCACACTGTGAATTGGGGGTGGCTGTAGGCAGGAGGGAGCATATCCTCTAGCGGTAGGGCTAGGGGAGGACTTTGGGTCAGAGGTCCGGGGCCCCGCGAAGCAGAATAATCACATTTCCCCATGTTTCATGCTGGCCTTTCCGATTTAGGGGGTTCTTCGTTTTGCTGCAACGTGGAACGCTGTTCCCCTCTGACCTGTTTTTGGAGTAATGCACATCATTATCTGAAGTTGTGGTGGGAGCCCCACACTCCCCTTTGGGGGGAGTTGGGGCATCACAAGGGGGTGATCCAGTTTTAATGCGTACCCAGCAATACCACTCCGCGTGCACGATCTTTGTCTGTGCACACGATTGCGCCCCACCGAGAAGCCCCAGCCCAGTTGCAAAGTATCTGTTCTGTACTGAGGTCTCAGGCTTGATTCTTAATTACAGTGCCAGCAGAAAGGGCTAGGAAAGGATCCTGCAACGTCTGCACATGGGGCTGGGAACGAGTCATGTCTGAAGGCCCGGAGAACCACTGTTGCTGGGTAGAATGCCAAATTAATTCACCATTTAGGCCAACAATCAAACTCCATACAAGGCACGTCTGCTCCAGCCGGTCTCCGTCTCCATGTGGGCTACAGGGCCACTCTGTTCTCAACAAAACGAGGGCTTCTGCAAGATGGGAGAAGAGTTGTGCCGTGCGCCCATGGCGACTGACCAGTGCAAGGAGGGTCTGGGAGGGCTGACAACGGTCCAGTTAGGCAGGTGGGGATGGTGGCAATTTCAAGCATTGCTGGGTTCTGAACACACTCAGGAGCCCATCTCAGGAGCCCGGCCAATGCTGGGCGCCTTTTCCTCCCCTTTTTTCTGCTTGACCTGCATCCATCACTCCCAGGCATCCCCCACCGGGAAGGCACAGGCGGTCCTTCCTTCCTTGGCCCTCTTTCCACTGAGCAGCACTACCCCCGGTGCTCAGTCCCAGTGCAGGAGGGGCTCCGAGATCGGGGTGGGTGGGGG